TTCATTTTACCAGAAATCCATATATTATACATTTTTAGGATTTAAGAATGCTAAAAGAGGGTTTGGCATTAGCCTGCTTTGAATCTCCTAGCAGTAAAAACGGAAATTTCGGACACATAGTAGCGTTAAAGTAGCAGCTAAAATTATATTTAAATAACGCCTATTTTTACTCTATTACTCCTACATCGGAGAAAAAAATCGAGGTTCAATGTAGGGGCAAAATTTCGACTCGGGATCGCAGTTAATATACAATGCGCTTACCATCTTGGCATCTAACTTATTTACCCGTGCAATTCTCGCGATATCGCAGTCTCGCACTTCGTTTGCTAACGCCGATTGATAGACGAAAGAAACGGGAGATATTTCCCGCATCAATGCAAATCATAAATCCTTCGTATCTTCGAGCTGAAAATAGAACTATTCTATTTTCACTCGTTGAATTCGCGATAAACTCGTCCAACTGATCCGCGTCTGGCATGTAATGACGATGAAAGACCAACGATCAAGAAGAGCGACGTGCCGGAGGGATCAAATCTGTTTTTAAGTGAGAAACGAATGACCTCTTCGGAAAGAATAAAGGCAAAGTAAAGAAAGGGATAAAAAAAGGCGAGATAAAGGGAGAACAGAAGATATGCAGAAGGAGACAAGAGAAGAAAAAGAATAAAATCCGAATATAGATAAAACGGAAAATGAAGGAAATGAAAGAAGCGGTAGGAATATTTATTTAAAATTAAGACGAGAATGGGGAAAAAATTGCTAGGAGAATTCACCGCGTCTGCTGTACGTGAATTTATCTAACTTGGTGTAAAGGGCGATTTTTCTTTTGTTTAATGATTTGCTTAACACACGACTGAAAATCTGTCTCAAGTTTACATCCATCTGGGAAGGTTATCTCTCCGCTGGAGAAAATAATAAAAAGTCCGGGGGTGATATAACACTGACCCTTTGTTGCAGTATTATTAAAAGAAAGCAGGCAGGTGTTTATATAGAGCGAGATCACACTGATTCTCAAGTAACAAGAGAAATTTTTTTTAATTAAATTCTCTCTGCCCATTCCAGGTCTTTGCGTTTTCATAACATCGCTCGCAATAAAATTTTCACCGTGCGCGTGTAAGAACGCGCGCAACGCAAACTTATAATGAAGGTTACATTCAATGTATCATTTCTGCACAGCGTGTTCCGCTACAATTTTACTCCAAAGTGTTATCAATATAGATTAAAAGCCCACCCAAGTTGGAAAGTTTGTTTAATCCCGGGGGATTAAAGCGCTTCAGTCGCTAACGCGTTATAATAATTTGTATGATTTTCTACAAGTTAATTAATTTATGCATTCTCGGTTTTCTCCCTTTCTTGCAAATATTTCA